CCCCCCGCAAAGAAGCCACCTAAGTCTAGTGTCCTCATCCCAGGCTTCATTCTTTGTGTGGCATGTGTCCCTGTTGTCGCATTCTCTTGCCTAAAACTTTTTGTGGCTTTCCATGTGCCCAGGGCAGGTATTCAAAAATGTTTTAAAATATCAGAACCAGTCATTCTGATATCTTTTTTTGGGCTTTCAGCCTGTTTTTGTTTGGTACTGGGGATCGAGCTTGGGCCCTTGCATTTGCGAGGCAGGCAGTGAGCCAAATCCCCGGCCCTCAGTCTGTATTTTTAATAGCTGTAACTGCCCAAATCTCAAATGCCTCATAGCCAAAATCAAAGTAATGATTTCCCCTATTCTCCAGATGGCTCCTCTACCTCTGATGTCTTCTTTGTGGCCCTGTGGTTGTCATTTACCTGTATCCTCCGGCTAGATATATTACATTAAGGTCATTCTTGATTCCTCTTCACTCTTTGATTTTCATTTGGTCTCCAAGCTCTAATAAATAGCTCCCACATCTTCCTTTCTTTCTCTTCTATTTTCTGTGACTCTTGCCTTTTTATATTGTTAGTCTCTTATTTAGGTTATTTCAGTAGTAGTAGGGCTCCATGTTCTAGAGAAGCTCAAGAAAGCTAGGGCATCAGCAGAGGTGAAGAACATCCTTCCCAGGCCTCTGAACCCATTTGCTTACTTGCTCCCAGCAGACTCGGAATGGTATAAAAGCTCAACTGGCAAAACTCCGGAATTATCTTGTGAATCAGTGTTTCCAGAAAAAAGCTAAAAACTTACCTTCAGCATCTTCCAGTCCTTCCTCCACTCTACCAGCAGAGTTAGCTTTTATATACATATCTCATCACCTGCAAAACAAATTAAAAACTCATATGTAGTTAGAAACTTTCCAGCTTTGTCTCTAGGTACTACCGTCTCCTCCCTTCCAAGACTTGCTGTTGCTGGCTGTTGTGAGAGAACAGCTTCTGTGTCCATACCTTTATGCCCTTGACTGTTGCATTCTTTATCTTTGTGGTACCATTTCTTTCCACTCTCCAACCACAAACCTCCTATTCATCCTTCTAGTTCCAGATTCAGTGTTACCTCTTGCTCTTGTCTATCCCTAATTTTCTGCCATCACCCTGGCAGAATCATTCTCTCTTGGATAGAGTCTAAAGATTTTATACGTATCACTGATATACCATACTATAGTACCTTATTTTTATTTCTGTCTTTCCTACTAAGCCAGGTAAGAGACTTTTTCATGTTTGTATACCTAACACCTACTTTCATACCTAGTCTAAATAGGAGCTTAATATACTTTAGTTGAATGGAATTAGTTTTTATGGCTCACTTAAAATTAGAGACCAATGCTTATTTAATAATTCAGAACGGACTAGTAGTAATATCAAAATCCCATTTCTATGCTTTTCCAAGTAACTGATTCCTTTGTGAAAGTGAATTTTGAAAGTCTTTACATGTCAGTGTATTTTTTTTATGTGCTTTTTTATGTGCTTGAGATCCTAAAGAAATTTAAGAGTACCAGCGCAGACTAGAGCTTCTAAGGCATTCCTGTTGATGTTATATTTTTTCATATAGTCACTCATTTAAGATATATGTTTGTATATATTCATTTCATGGATATGCATTAAATTTATGTCTTTTAACCTTCATGGCAGTGGTTTATAAATTAGTTATTAAGATATGAGTCATTTTTAATCCAAAACACATTAAATAAAGTGTTTTCTATGTATAAGAACAGAGTTGAGTCCAATATTTATACATTATACTATTGTTTTGCTAAATTTGCAAAGTCTCAGTTACTACAAATATTTATGTTTTCTTAGATATCTAAATTAGTTCCGCAATTTAAAAAAAAACACTCTTCCATACATTGAAGGTCTCAAATAATTTTGAAGAGGTCTACTTTCTTTCATAATCTTTGAGTTTTGTAGGGAAGGAATCTCATTCAGCCCTTTATTGAGCAATACATTATGTGCTGGGCATTAGGCTGGGTGTTTGTGATTCAAAATTAGTAAGACAGTACATACATGCCCTTGAATAGTGCATCATCTAATAGAGAAGATAATATATAAAGAAGTAATTAGAACCAAGTTTTACATTAAGTATGGATGTGTTTCCTGAGCACTTTGTAGATAGAGCAGCAGAGCCCTGAAGGAGGTTCATGCTTGATAATCTTTTTTTTTTTTTTTAATATATGAAGTAGGAATCAGGAATCTAGGTTATCTTTAAGAATCAGTGGCATGGGGTAACTCTTGAGAGAGTAATAAATATTTGGATAATTAATAAGGAAAATTAGAGAGGAGTTAACAAAGACAAGTAAAGGGTGGCATGCACTTTTGAGAAAGCCATGAGAATAGAATTGAAATTGGATAGTATGAAACGGGGTATCAGTCAGAATAGTGGTATAATTTTCTCTGCCTGTGCTCTGTGGCCAATGTGTAGGTGCAGTAAAGCCTATTTTTTTAGGGTTCATGGAATGGGTATGACAGAAGTATAAAAAGGCTAGGAATTTAAGAATTCTTCCAAGAAAGCATGGCTTAATATGGGAAAAAGTATGGTTAAGAGAAAATAATAAACTTGAAGAAAAACAAGAGACCAGAGATGAGGATAAGGCCTAGTACTTCGAGGGTATTCAGCACATCTTCCTTTTCTCCTTTCTGAATCCTTTCCCTGTGTCTGGTCTACCACTGCCACCTGACTCTATTATGGGATATATATATGTATATGAAATTACTATATATGAAATGAAGTTTGTCATTGGCCTGGAGGGGAAGATTGGGAGCCAGGTTCTAATGCCTCATCCAGTGAGTCCCAGTGACTTATATGGTGGCAGTGTTAAGTGCAGTTGGCCTCTAGAGAAGCTCAAGCTTATCCCCAAACCTCCTTACCAACTCCTGCTTTGAGGGATGGTCAAAGGGTGAAGACATTTTATTGAGCAATGATTCTTAGGGCAGGGATTTATTCCATAATGAGAAGCATTACAACTCTAAGCTTTCAGGTATTTACACTAAGTTTGCTTCTTCTCGTAAGTGGAACTATATGAACAGACCTTAATTGCTTTCAGAGACATAAGAGGAAGTCCTTGACATAGGATATGAAGACCTCATTGGGAACCCAAAAGATCTTCCTCAGAATCTAGTTTCTAATAGTGTTGATTATATCTTGTGATTCATTTTAAGTGATTTATCAAATATGTTGTTGTATATTTAAAGGTAGACTTTTTAAGGCTTTCATTTCAAATAAGGACAAATCATTTTCTATGGAAACATTAGGTACATCACATTTCCAGAGATTTTTAAAATCTGTATTTATGACAGTGAAATCTAATAATCCTGTTGCTGTACAGAGTACTTTTGGGGGTAAAGTATAAAGAAAAAAACAAAAGCATCCGAATAGAGCTATGTACTTTAACTGTGAAATTACAAGAAAGGTGAGTGTTCCCAGAAAAGTAAACAGAAGCCAAGGTCTTCATCTTAAGAAGTGGAGTAGAGTTAACTAGGGAAGACCTGGGGAGTCTAGATCATTGGTCTTGCTATTTTGGATTGTTAATGATACAGTTTTGGGATTTTATTTTGTTTTGTTTTGTTTTTTATTTTTTTGTATTGGGGATTGAACCCAGGTCCTTTGCACTGACTTTTATCCCCAGCCCTTTTTGTTTTTTATTTTGAGACAGGGTTTCTCAAGTTGTTCAGGCTGGGCCTGAACTTGTGATCTGCCTGCCTCAGCCTCCCTGAGTACTGGGATTTTAGGTGTGTGCCACTATGCCTGCCTCTGTTAACAGTATCTGAAAGGCATTTAGCAATGCTTGCCTAGAAAGTGATTAAATAATACTTTTGAAACGTCATTGTCATCTGAGTTGCTCTAAAAAAACATGTGCCTTCACTTTACATTAATAACATGAAGAAAGACATTCAGCTTTATCCAAAATTAGGTGATGTTCATCTGGATCCTGTGGATTCTTCCATATTCATGCAACTCATACATGTTTGCCCCTTTTCCAAGTGTTTGTATTAATAGGCATTCTACGAATAAGATACAGTTTCCATAACCTAGTGTATCCTATGTCTGTTAAGGGTTTCATTTCCCTTATGCCAGATTTTTCCCTCTGACCTTAAAAGATAAGAATAAATATTTCTTAATTAGATATTTAAAACAAAGAGACATTTTCAGAGTTAAAAATTATTGTTCTAAGTGGTAGTTCAAATATTGTCATCCAGAGATTTTTAACTGGCAACTTTCCCCCCTGCAAACATTAACACTGGTGTAGGAACTGTTTCTAGATGTGAGAGAGAAAGAGGAAAGGAGGGAGGGGAGAGGACTGAGGGAGGAGAGACTGAGGTTGGAAAGGAAGGATATTTGTTTATTCTGTTCATGGCATAAGGCTCTTAACATATACAAATAGTATCACTGTGTTTTTCCTAAAGTGCATATGAAAAAGAAAAGTTTCCTTTAGATGTATTACTTGGATTTTAGTTGTTGTAAGACTGTTTTTTGTTTTTCCTTTTCAGGTTGTAAACATGTTAAAGGCATCCTGTTATATGGGCCCCCAGGTTGTGGTAAAACTCTCTTGGCTCGACAGATTGGTAAGATGTTGAATGCAAGAGAGCCCAAAGTGGTCAATGGGCCAGAAATCCTTAACAAATATGTGGGTGAATCAGAGGCTAACATTCGCAAACTTTTTGCTGATGCTGAAGAGGAACAAAGGAGGGTAATATAAATATAACTTAGTAAAAATTTGCTATTACTTATGTAATGATTGAAACCCACAGTTTGGAGGCAAACTTGTTGCTGTGGTCTGTATTTTGAAACAACTTGCAGATAAAATTTACTTAGCAATTAGTTTATGTATTATACTATGAAGAGATTATGGAGGATTTAGGTGATATGAACAGATGTCATTACCCACCTGTTCATAATAAAAAGAGATTATTATATAAATCCGCAGTTTTGCAAAAACAGATCATGAATATATTTTCAAGTGACACACTTATACCACATTACATCGAAAGGCTTGAACTCTTATCCCTTGAAAAGGGATAAATTAAATCCATGAATAGACATAGAATTATATGCATGTAAGGCCCATGAGCAGAAAATTAGTTTACTTACATTGAGTTGGCTTAAGTATAAATTGGCAGGATTGAGTTGTCAAAGCTCAAAGGCAAACTTTTTGGGATCTTATAAAAAATATATAATATTTAAAAATCAGACCAGAATACGATGGTTAATTTTATGTCAACTTGACTGGGCCACAGTGCCCAGAGTTTTGGTGAAATAGAACTCTTGAGTGTGTCTGTGAGATTTATTTCTAGATGAAATAAACTACTTAATTGGTAGGCTGAGTAGAGGAGAGTGTCTTACCTAACTCTGGGCAGGTTAAGGTTAACAGCTGCATTTTAGAAATAATGGAAACAAATGGTTATAGTAGGTTGTGGTGGTGCACACCTGTAATCCCAACTACTTTAGAGGATAAGGCAGGAGGATCACAAATTCCAGGGCATCCTGGACAATTTAATGGAGACTCTCTCTAAAAAAACTTTTTTAAAAGGGCTGGGGATATTTTTTGTTACAGAGCACTTACCCAGCATGCTCAAGACCCTAGGTTTAGTCCCCCGTACCTGGAAAAAAGCAAAAATGAAACAAGTCATCCAGTGAATGCCATTTTTAAGAGACTGAGAGAAAATAATATTTAGAATTTGAGATATATATTTCTGAGTTCTGTTTACGTTGGCCTAGGTAAATATATTGTTTGTTTTAACATTTGTAGGATATTCCATTTCCTGCTAAGAAACAGTATTTCTTCCTCTGTTGATTTTCTTTGCCATAATCTGGCCAAGAATGATTATATAGTGATATTTATTTCACTGTTGCTTATTCTTCTAAATAATTTCATCATTCTTCCATTTTCTATTATTTTAATCTTTTTTAACACAGTTGAAAATTCTTGGTAAGAAAGTATTTCTAAAATGGTGAAATAGCATAATGTATCTTAGATTTCTAAAACAATCATAGAGTTATTGCAAAAGAATGAGTTTTATTCTATGTTTTAAAATACATTATTCTATTTTTAGAAATATATTTTCCTTTTTGTTCTGTGGAAGACTTATAAAAAATGTCATGATGGGGCCGGGGATTTTGCTCACTGGCACCACACCTGCCTGGCAAGTGCAAGGCCCTGAGTTTGATCTCTGGTTCTAGGAAAACAAAATAAACCATATGATTTTTGAGACTTAGCTCAGTGGCACCGCACCTGCCTCACAAGGTCCTGAGTTCAATCCCCAGTACCAAAAAATAAGTTTAAAGAATGTCATGAAATATCAGTCATTATAAATAGTTAGAACTTCTGATAAAATAATTTTTAAAAACTGAAATTGATTTGCAAAAGGGAAGGGGACCAAGAGATGGAAGGAGGGGAAGGATGAAAAAATCCATTTTATGTACATGTGCCAACAAACTTCCCACAATGAATGTAATCATTATGCACTGCAAATATGTACTAATAAAAATAAAAATAAAAGGAGCTGAGGATTTAGCTCAGTGGTTCCGGCACCTGCCTCCTAAGTGACAAGGGTCCAAGTTCGATCCCCAGTACCAAAAATTAAAAGTAAAATTTAAAAATTGAGTCTAATAGACCCTGATGATTATATAAGTCATAGGAGATGCCATATAATAAAGCATTTTATAAAATCTCAGTTGTGATAGTTTCCTCAGCACTACATAGGTAACTTTTATGCTGATTTTAAATTTGTGGACAGTTTAAATATGAAACTAGTTAGGGGCTGGAGATTTAGCTCAGGGGTACCTTCACATGCCTTGCAAGCACAAGGTCCTGAGTTCTATCCCAGTACCACCCCCCCGAAAAAAATGACATTAGTAATGATGAGACTGAGTTGGCAAAAATTTCTACATAGACATCATATCCAGCCTCTTGAGTTATATCTTGAATTACCCTGCTAATTCCATGGAACGTGAATATGTGTATTACATAATAAAGCAAAGCATTCCCTCTGTAATTTTGAGTATCCAGGCTGATCGAATGAACACTTGCATATAGGTCAAGCTAGTTAAATATAGAACAGCCACTTTGAAAAGCTGTTGTTGCCAGGAACTCAAACAGCATTGTCTCTATTTCTATGGTAAAAACAGCCAGGGAGTTTAAGAGTATTGCATTGTAGACATTAGATTATTTGGTAGAGTATTATTGATGGTCAGCTATATTAATCCATGAAGATTAATCTTTGACATCCATCCTGACCTGATTGCTAATTTACTGCAATAAGAATTTTTCTTTCTTCAAGTTATACACTTGTTAAACTTGATGTTATTGTACTGACTAGGTGGGGGAAGGGATCTGATGACAGGTCATAAGATTAGTAGGTTCTGAAAAGGTCAGAATTGTACTGAGTTATGATTAAGACAGTTTGCCCTTGTAATCACTTAATTAAACACAGTGTTATTATCTATGGCTTTCCTGTGCACATAGGTGCTTTTTTGGGGGTGGGGGGCGTTGAGACAGAGTCTCACTATGTAGCTGAGACTGACCTGGAACTCACTATGTAGCCCAGACTGGTCTTGAACTCACAGCAATCCTCCTGCCTCAGCCTCCTGAGTGCTGGGATTACAGACATGTGCCACCACACCCGGCACACGTAGGTGATTTTTGAGGATGCACTGAGAGGGAAGTTATGATTCCAGCAGCAAAACGGGGTGCAGAAACAGCAAAATTCATACCTTGTAGCAACTTTTGGCTTCTACCTGTGTTAGGCAGGCAATTTTATGGTTTGGTTTTGTTTTTTTCCTGGTACCAGGGATTGAACTTAGGACCTTGCACTTTTGAGGCAGGCAGCAGAACCACTGAGCTAAATCCCCGGCCCAAAAATATGAATTTTTTTTGTTCTTATTTTTGTTTGTTTGTATTTATTTATTTATTTATTTATTTGGTGCTGGGGATCAAACTCAGGTCCTTGTGCTTGCAAGGCAGGCGGCAGAACCACTAAGCTAAATCCCCAGCCCTAGGCAGTCAACTTTAAATAAAATGTGTTTTTAAAATAATTTAAAATCTCATGATTTTTCAATCCCAAATAAGAGGGTTTGTTTTGCACTGAAGATGGCCAAGAGTTAGAACCCTTCTACATAGAAGTGCTTTGACAAAGCCAAACTTGTAATGTCAATTTCTCATACCCAATTGCTTCTACCGATGGAAAGATGAAGTTTTTGTTGTTGAATTTTTTTTTATAAAAATCAAGCTATCAATTATCAGTAGACAGCTGTTCAATAAAATGCAGTGATAGTTGGAAATAAAGTTGATTTTTTTCTGATTTGAATTAGTTTTTAAGGTATTTGTAGGTGAACAATTTATAAGTAATGCTCAAGGAAAAATATAAAATCTAGTTAAATTTTAAAAGCTTTGATATACACATATTACATAGAATTATATTAAATTTAACAATATTCCAAATGTGAATATTATAATGTGGAAGATATTTTATCTATTTTTACATTACACAGTAACATTAATTTCTTTCTCTTCTAGTGTCTGGCTTTATGATTTTTTTTTTTCCAGTACTGAGGATCAAACTCAGGACCTTATTCTTTCGAGGCAGGTGAAGCACCACTAAGCTAAATCCTCGGCCCTTAGCTTTATGAATTTTAACATATGGAGATCCATGAGATCACCACCTATGTCAGGATACAGCATTTGTATTTTCTAATTTAGAGATTTAATCTAATATTAATCAAAGCTTGCATTATTTTGTTTATAATTGATAGAGGTTTTTCCTTTGGTAGGATGATTTTAATGTTCATTTGCAAATAGATATAGTTGAAAATAGCCAAGATAGTTCTGAAAAAACAGGAAGAATGTGTGGTGGGAAGAGCTCGCCTAACCTACTATGATGTTGGAGAGATAAAAATACACGTGAATCCAAGGAACAGAATAGATCATCTAGCATACATAAAAATTCAAAGTCTAGTTCAGATGTCATCTCAATCAGTGAAGAAAAGAGGGATTATATAGTTACCCCTACTGGGTAGATTAGTTACCTATTGGAAGAATTAGGTGGATTCTTACCTCACTACGTGATAAACAAAAATAAAACTCCAGATAATTCTATGTAATGTAAAAATTTTATTTATTTTTTTGGTACCAGGAATCGAACTCGACATTGTGCTTGCCAAGCAGGTGTGGTGCCACTGAGCTATATCCCTGGCCCTGTAATGTAAAAATTTTTAAAAGAAGGACTGGGAATTTAGCTCAGTGGTGCTGCCGCCTGTGTGGCAAGTGCGAAGTCCTGAGTTCCATCCCTGGTACCCCCCCAAAAAAAGAAGAAGAAGAAAACATAGGTAACCATCAGTGTCTGTAATGAGGAAGGATTTTTAAGGATAAAAATAACAAAATATCATAAAAATAAAAACAAAAACTGATAAGCTTGGCTGTTTAAATAATAATAACAAGGAAAGCCCACACCTTCTACTTAACAAAATTGCTATAACTAGCATTAAGACAGATAGAAAGCTGGGATAAGATATTTACAGTAAGTTTAATAATATCCTTGATAACCCCCTTTAAAAAAATAATCAAAGATTGCTAACATTGAGAAATGGGAAGAAAGGAGCTAAAGGTGTAGGGAAGGCAGGATGGGTAGGGGAAGGGTAATAAGGGAAAAGAAAAAAATGTGAGATAATGAAAAGATGGAAAGAAAATGTTTATAGCTGGGGAGGGGAGGAGGGGGTGAAGGGGCACGGACAAGGGGAAAAATGAGAACCAAGACCTGTCATGTAGAGGTACAAGATCCCAACAATGAATGTAACTGTGCTGTATCCCTAAAATGTACCAATAAACTCAATTAAAGCTGAAAAAAATAATCAAAATTCCAACAGGAAAATGTGAAGATGTATCAAATAATAAGAGAAAAATTAACAGTGGTTTAAAAAGGTAATTTACAAAAAGTGCCAACCTCTTCAGTAAGACACTGTCATGTACATGGTGGGATTATAAATTGGTAAACCTTTCTGGAAAAGTATTTATTTTTATTTTTTTGTTACTGGGAATTGAACTCTATTTCAAAGTCTTTAAAATACTTTATATAATTTTTAACCTAACATTTGGCTTTAGGAGTTAATCATATATATTATTCAAGGTTTTAGAAATTAATCATATATATCATTCAAGATTTAAGTATTAAAATGTTCATTTTAGGGCTGAGGATTTAGTTCAGTGATAACCACCACCTGCTATGCAAGCGCAAAGTCCTAAGTTTGATCCCCGGTCCCAAAAAAAAAGTTCGTTTTAACAACATATATAATGCCAAAAACTTGTCAATAATGAAAACAATAAGAATTAATGTGGGGTGGGGGAATGAAACTGAAGCCAATCATGATGAAATATTATAGAGCTGTTAGAAGTCATATTGTACAGTTATGGGAAAGGATTTAAGATAATAACTAGACTGAAATAAAAAGCAGGATACAAGGCTGGGGATTTAGCTCAGTGGCATTGTGCCTGCCTCACAAGCACAAGGTCCTGAGTTTGATCCCTGGTACCAAGAAAAAAAAAAGCAGGATACAAAGTATTACATAGCACCATTTTAGCTAATTGAATTTTGGATTATTATGACTTTTTTTTTTATGTTTTTCCAGATTTTCTATAATAATATGCCTTGCAATTAAAAACAAAAATAACCACTTAAAAATTATTTTCAAAGAACAGCTGATGTTCAAAAGAATATAAATACTATGCAATGGTTCCTAAATTTTTAATTAAAATAAGTTGAAAATGTAGAAATCTGTAGGATATTAACACCATTTATCTGTAGGTGACATAATTTGGCTGTTTTTAAACATTATTTATCTCACAACTTTTGTTCAGTTAACATTACAGTTTTTATAATAAAGTTTAAAATTTTAAATCTTATTTCTTTAAAATTTATATTTTTGCCAGAGTTAATGAATTCTAACCATATTTAATCCTCTATTTAATTATGTTCATCATTTAATTTATATTGTATTATTTATATCGTTCATATTATTTATGTTCATTCTCACATTTTAGAAACACCTTAAGGGTCAGGGATTTGGCTCAGTGGTTCCACCACCTGCCTTGCAAGCACAAGGACCTGTGTTTGAGCCCCGGTACCAAAAAAAAAAAAAAACACATACACACCTCCTAATCTTCCTTATTGTTAGGTATGGTGGCTTGTGCTTATAATTCCATCTACTTGGGATACTAAGGCAGGAAGGTATTAAGTTTGAGTCCAACCTGGGCTACTCAGTGAGACCTTGTCTCAGAATAAAAAGGGCTAGGGATTAGTTTAGTGGTCAAGTGCCCCTAGGGTTGATCTTTAGTACCAGAAAGGGGATGAGGGTCGGAGAAAGATGAACTATGATTCCCAACAACTAATTGTATATTTCAGAATAGCTAGCACAGAGGCCTCATAATGACTGTATTTCCAGTATTAAATAGAAGTCAGTATGCAGATGAAAGAGCACCCACTTTTATCATGTTCTTATAAACTGTGTCTCTGTTCTCACTTTCCTCTTAGGGAGAAGTCAACTGTTTTCATGTGATGCAAGTGAATGTGAATCATGTTTAGTTCCCTTACTCATTTGCCCAATTACTAGCCACGCTCTGGGGGAACTGATCTTTTGCTATATATATGACAAAGCAAACATTAAACCTACTGTTTCTGGGACATTTTCCTCACCAAAACTCCAGAAAAATGAAAGGAAGATGCCTCTCAATGACAGTGAATGCAAATAAGGATTCTCTCAAATAATGAGATAAGACATGTCTAAATTCACAGTTAGTTATCTGAGGTAGATATATACATAATACACACATGTGCACTATAAGTATATAATGCATATTTGTGTTTTATGGTTATTAAATGTGAGGTTTTGGAATGTATTTTCAGTTTGCAGAGTTTTGAAAATGTGATTTCAACACCTTGGAAAGAGCAGTAACCACCATTAAATTATGCCACTATATTTATTGTCAAAATGGAGCAAAATTAACCTGTTGAAAGCTTTGTTTTGCGTTTTTTTATTAATTTGTTTAATCACTCAAATTGTGACCTTTAACATAATTTCTTCCCTTAATAGCTTGGTGCTAACAGTGGTTTGCACATCATCATCTTTGATGAAATTGACGCCATCTGCAAACAGAGAGGGAGCATGGCTGGTAGCACTGGAGTTCATGACACTGTCGTCAATCAGTTGTTGTCCAAAATTGATGGGGTAGAGCAACTAAACAACATCCTCGTCATTGGTGTGTTTACTTTTGTCTGTAAAGTTCTAGTCTTCCAAAACATGAAGCACATTAAGATTTGTGAAGGTTGTTATTTTGCCAGTGTCTCCAAATTAGAATTACTTGACACTGAAGACTTTGACTTATTTAATTCAAAGCTTTACAGGAAAAATAAAAGGTGGGTTTTAGTGGCTTCCATTTATGCTTATGGCTCACCCACAGATGAAAAAGACAGTACAATGGGATGCAGTGGTTTTCACCCTACATTATGGTAGGCCTCCCAGCTCTTCAGAGGGTTCAGGGACTGAGCTTCAGACCCTGTGTATCACTATTACAGATTCGTCTTTTAACTCCTTTACATACTGAACTTCTTAAGATGATTTTAAGAAGGAAGAAAGATATTGTTTTAGGAAGATTGAAAACCACTGGCCTATGAAAAAGAGAAGGGACTTTGAAGTCAGAGAAGTCATGTTCACACTGCCCCTCTATCCCTTTCACAGAGATACACTTATCCTCTCTGAACCTTAAATTTTCTTTTGAATTATTCAAATTTTTTGTTACATTTACATTTTTTTGGCTTTTGTGGTAGTGAAATAGTAAAGCAAAGTCTCCTGGTATTTTCAGTAGAACAGATCAAGAACAAAATGCTGTTTTTAAATTTGATAATAAGTTGTTTTTCTATTTGACTGTTATAAAACATCCTCTCAGCTTGTTAGAAAAATTACTCTTTTTATGTATACTGAAGGGATATTTGTTTATTGTTTTAATGTTTGCATTCAGGAATGACCAATAGACCAGATCTGATAGATGAGGCTCTCCTTCGACCAGGAAGACTGGAAGTCAAAATGGAGATAGGTAAGCAGATCTGTTGCTGCTGTGTGTGTGTTTGTGTGTGTGGGCGACTGTGTGTGTACTTATATATATGCAAATGCATGTAGCAGAGTTCATTGACAGGGACAGTGTCACATAACTTAATGTTTGTTAGAAAAGTTTCATCATGAGAACCAGTTGCTTACATGTTTGAATACCTAGAGAAAATATTTAGATTATAATCTGTGATGGGCTCTGGAAACTGGGAAAATGTCTGATCTGTTTTTATCAGGCTTGCCAGATGAAAAAGGTCGACTACAGATCCTTCACATCCACACAGCAAGGATGAGAGATCATCAGTTACTCTCTACTGATGTAGACATTAAAGAACTGGCTGTGGAAACCAAGAATTTCAGTGGTGCTGAACTGGAAGGTCTGGTGCGAGCAGCACAGTCCACTGCTATGAACAGACATATAAAGGTCAGGAAAAGCAATTAAAATCAGTTAGGTATTTACTGTCCTCTAAATACCAAGCTGGTATTCTTTTTCTTTTCAAGCGTGCCAACTGCTAGGTTAATGCTGACATTTGATAGAGAAGCAAGATGGTAAAAATAGTTAAGAATTAGTTGTACACTGTTAAATCTACAGACTAGCAGGAAGAAGGGCAGTGGTATTATCTGCCTAGTGGTAACTGCCAACTCACCTATTTTAGGTTGCCAACATCTAACACAGATGTGTGAAGCACAGATTTTGAAAAACAAAATTTAAATCTTTGCTGTATATTAAGTTGGAATGTGTCATGGAAGTTGTATATTCTATATACTGGAATTATGAGGGCTGCTTCATCTAGTAGAATACTTAATGTTTTTGAGGTATTAGGCTGGAGACACAAAGATAATAAATTATGACCTCTTCCCTCAAGAAATTCAGAGTGGGAAGGGGCCGGGGATTTAGCTCAGTGGTTCCGCTGCCTGCCTCGTAAGTGCAAAGTCCCAAGTTTGATCCCTGGTACCAAAAAAAAAAAAAAATTCAGAGTGGGGAAACAGATATATTTGAAAATTACACAGTATTGTTATAGGCACTGTGGTAGAAATACATGCATACCATGATACTTTTATTTTGATGAAGTGCTCTCGATTCTTGTCTATCTCTTTTCTTCACTTTTTATTTTACCATGTCTAGATGACGCTCAGATTTAATCTAGAGTATCTGTTTCCTACTTTCAGATTTGTACTAAACACCCCCACTTGGATATTTTCTCAGCCTAAAATTTAGTATTCAAAAAACACCTCCATTGTCTTTTTTAAACTACTTTTCTTCCTGCTCCTATTTCCCTGTGTATTACAGTTTTCCAAGCTTTAAACTTCAAGATTATCTTTGATTGCTGCAATTTTGTTGTGTCCTACATCAGGTCATTTGCCAATACTCTCAGTTCTACCTTGTTATAGTATTTCTCAGTTCTCATTACTACCACCCTCCTTCTCTTTACCCATAACCTTCTCATTTTAGTTCGTTCATGACTCCCCATTGTCTATAGAGCAAAGTACAGTTTTTAATATCCTCTGGCTTTTCCAGATATTTTCTGAATTATTCTCCATACACTTCAGCCAAGCTGAAATATTCAACAAATTATCAGACATTAATTTATTTTTCAATCTCTTTGCTCTTGACTCCTTTGCTTCATCTAATATCTTTACCCTCTACTTTCGACTGTCTTTTCATTACTTGTCTCTTATACTACCCTTTCTGCCAACCTTTTCTAATTCTCTTTCTGATATCACCAATTGACTCTGGTTCAAAATAGATTTATCCAGTACCTAGAATATGCTATATATACTGTGCTAGGAGTTAATGTTACAACTGAAAGAAATAAATTGCCTACAACTGAGCAACTCATAGTTGAGTCCTCCATGTACAGTAGTAGAAAGTATATGCAAGGTAAGAAAGTAAAAGGTATTAGGGGGCCCAAGATTTAGCTCAGTGGTTTCACCACCTGCCTCTAAAGCTCAATAAACCCAAGTTCAATCCCCAGTACCAAAAAAACAAAACAACAACAAAAAGCAAAAGGTATTAGGTATGGTCAACTTGTGGGGTGAAAAAAATGTTACAAAGGAATTTTGTAGATATGAATGTCTCTTGGTGGGTAGAAGAAAGAAGAAATGCAAAGGAACAGATACAAAATGTCATGATATGTTGAATAATTTAGTATTGTTTTCTGCATGGAAGTTGGCAGGGTGCTAGAGAGAGACATTGTTGAGGATAAGTCAGGAAATCTAAAGCAGGGGATGAAACTCAAAGAGCCTGTTATATTCTACTTAGAAGTGTGGACTTTTTCTGTGAATAGTGCTAAGCCATTGAAGTGTTTTACAGATAGCAGTAATGTAGTGTTAAAACATGAGATGACTCTGGCAGCTGTGTTAAGTTGAATATTTAGGGAAGTGGAGTTTGCAGCACATAAAAGAAGAACTTATATAACAGATTAGGCAGGAAATAATAAAAATCTGAAGAGTTAGATGATGCTGTTATAGTTTTTTGGATGTACCTTGTCAGTGGTTCTTGATCAGGAATTAACAAACTGTGGCCCATGGGCTGAGTCCAAACAACCACCAGTTTCTTGTTTTGTTTTGTTTTTTGGGTACCAGGGATTGAATTTGGAACCTTGCGCTTGTGAGGTAGGCAGCAGAACCACTGAGCTAAATCCCCAGCAGCCACCAGTTTTTATGAATAAAGTTACTTTGAAACACAAGCATACTATTTATCTATTGTCTGTGACTGCTTTCGTGTTATAATGGCAGAACTGAGTGTTTGCGACAGAGAATGTCACTTAAAAAACCTAAAATACTTCCCATCTGTCTCTTTACAAAAACTTTTTGATGAATGTAACTGTACTGTATACCTAAAATGTACCAATAAACTCAATGAGAGGAAAAAAAACTTTTTGCTTGCCCCTATTCTGAACTTTTAAGTTCCTGTGTTATTTATCTCTGAATCTCCCACAGTACTCCAAAAACCTAAATACTGAGCACATAGATGTTCAGTAAATATTTTTAAATTAATAAACCTATGTATGTATTCTGAATAAAAACTATATCCATAAGTCATCATTCCCCTACATAATAGAAGTTACTTTGTTTGAGCTCATTTTCTTCAATGGTTTGGGTAGTGTGGGAATATAGTATTGGGTCTTCTATAGAATGGATCTATGTAGGACATATTTTTCATTCTTCCTTACTGTATAAATATCTTAGTAAGAAGTGATGGTGACTTCTAGAAAAAATATGTAAATGATGTGGAAATTGCTCCATACTGACCCTTTATCTCAGGCCATGTACGTGTGTCTTGCTACACTACATAATTATCTAATTTTTGTATGGATTGGCCACATGATTTTTCTTTTAGTCATTGGTCATTTTTACCACAGTAAATCTCTCTGAAGATGTTACTCTGAGACATTGTATCACTAAGAAATGTGGTTTCTTTAAGAATATGTTGGAGCCAGGGATTTAACTCAGTGGTTCCACCACCTGCCTCGCAAGTGCAGGGACCAAAGTTCGATCCCCAGTACCAAAAAAAAGAATATGTTGAATTTATCCTACATATGAGGCAACAGGAAAGGTGGAAAGATTGCATAGACAAGAAGTGTGGTTATGCATTACAATTCTTTGGCCTTTTTTTTCTGACCTGTCAAGGAAATATTCTACCTATTTTACCAGGTTTTAGTGAGAATGAAACCAAGTACTGTACATGGAAGTACCTTATAAACTATATAAATACTAGTTATTTTTGTTATTATTGGCTAATTTGAGAGAATATCATGTACATCTTTATTCAGTGTCTGGGTTTCTGTTTTATTGATTATTTGCAATTATAGTTTTTCTAATTATAAGATTTAGCTTACACTGAATAGAATATACTTACTATTCTTCACATTTACAGATAAGTAGTGCAAATAGTTGTCATTATTTCCCTCACTTTCATCATGTACTTAATATCTCTCCTTCCCTTCCTCCCTTTTGTGCTGGGAACTAATATGTATTTATCTGCATTTTTAAAAATCTGCGTTGTCAAAGGTTTCTAAACATTATCTTCCCAACAGGGTGACAGTTCAGTAAAAGACAGTAGTTAGTAGAGAGTTTCCCATTGCTGTAGATATTCATAGCTTTACTTTTAGTGATTGATAAGTTGATTAGAACTTTCAGAGAACATCATTCAGTTGTTATGATATACTTTCTTCATAGTATAAAAACGTATTATGTGTTACTTTGCTTGCTTTTAAAAAGATACAGACCTAAACAAAGATTTAGTCAGGTGATTAAACAAGTCTTGGTTAAACTTTTTTTTTTCAGCTTTTCTGAAACAAGTAGAAAATCCAGTGATGAACACCTGATGTTCATGTTACTTGAACTCAAACCCATGTTTTGAGTTAAATAAAATTAATGTGATATTTGGTTATTTTTATCTCCAAAGAAATGTTTACTTCAGGTAAAGAAGGTCCATAACCTGAATTTCTTCTCCAATCTATTGTAGTAATAAATTGGAGACACACACACACGCGCGCGCGCGGGGGTACTTCACTACTGAATTAAAGCTCTGAGTTATATTTGTTGAATTTCAATAAAATTATTTCTTTCCTGTAGACTTTTTGATTAAGGTCATTATACCTTTAATTTAAGAGAAGAAAGATAAGAACTTTGAAAGGTCAAATTTAAAAGGTTATGAAATTTAAGGGTGACCATTTGATATTTGCTAGTGTTGAAATACAAGTTTATGAGTTTCTGTGGGATAAGCTGAAAGATGCTGCCTCTTCTATATTGACTGTTATAAATAAAATGCAGAAAATATCTTACTAGTTCAAACAAATGAGAAAAATTTTCTAAATGAGTAAAGCTTCAGAATTGTTAGTTTTTTTAAATAAGATTTTCCACTTTTGATAAAACAGTAAAAGTTGACTAAGAAGAATTTCTAGAAAATTTATTTTAATGAAGAAGTAGGAATAATTTACCATTGAAATATTACTTATAAATAGATAACTTAAAGTTTCTGGAGTGCCTGAAAACAACTTGTTGTAAATTAACTCTTCCCCCAGCCATTAAAAAAAATTTTTTTTTAATTTTTAACTGTCACATAATTTTATATACTGCTAGAGTACAATGTAATATTTCAATACATATATGTAAATGTAATGATCAGATCTGGACAGCTGGCATAGACATCACCTCAAGTATTTATTATTTCTTTATTTGAGAACATTCAAAATCCTCACTGTGGGCTATTCTGAAATATACAATGAATTCTCATCAACCGTAGCTCCTCCGCTGTACTACAAAACATTAGAAATTATTCCTGCTGTTGACTACATCCTTATCCCATTAGTCCTCCTCTTAATTCCCTCCCTGCCCTTTAGTTTCTGATAAGCACTGGTCTACTGTCCACTTCTATGAGATCAGCATTTTTAGTTTTCATATAAGTGAAGAATATGTAGTTTTGTTTTGTTTTTTTACTAGACTGATTTGCTTTTAATTCATGGTGTAAATCTTAGTAGTTAGTGAAAGGATAAGTTTCACACCAGCTTCAGTCCTAAAAAAAAAATTTTTTTTCTTTTTTTTGCAAACCCTGAATAACAAGATTTTTCTTTAATATTGCTGTATTTTTCTGTCATTTGAATTCAGTTTTACTGTAAAAGCAAATAAAAATACAAAATGTCATACATAGTAAAAGTAAGACTGGTAGCTTCATTGGGATTTTAATATGATTCTGTTAGATCTTGTTTCTTCACCCTTGCATTAGAGTTTGCACCTTGTAGAATCCTTTTAGATGTGTCCAGAAGTTTTAATCAAAGTTAAAACTATAACGGTACTTAAGAAGGAAATCTGTCTACCCTTTTTTTTTTTCCTCATTGAGTTTATTCGTACATTTTAGGTATACAGTACAGTTACATTCATTATTGGGATCTTGTACCTTTACATGACAGGTCTTGGTCTGTCTACCCTTTTTAATGACTTAGGAAAGCCTCCAGGTTTATACAAATATGAGATAATATGATATGATGAAATGAGATCATGTGTATGGACATACTTTATGAACTATAAAGAACATAGGGCTGAGGGCCGGGGATTTGGCTTAGTGGTTTCCCTTCCTGCCTCACAAATTCAAGGGACCGAGTTCAATCCCCAGTACAAAAAAAAAAAAGAACATAGGGCTGAGAATGTAACTCAGTGGTAGAATGAGATACTAGCATATTCAAGGCCCTGGGTTCTATTCCCAGCACCAAACAAATAAAAAAAAACTAATAGAGATTTATATAGTATGAACTATCAGAATTCACAGAGATGCCTGTTTCCTGTAACACTTTTCCTTTTTTAAAAACTTAGAAATTCCAAATAAATGTGATTAATATTTATCAAATACTTACTATATAGACGGTGAAAGCCCTAGTAATACTCTAAATGCTAGTTGTTGTATTTAAATAGATTTGTCTACTTAAATGTTGTTACTTTCTCTCGTTAAAAGTATGGAAATTAATGTAGTATCAGTGTTTCTTATCTCTTCATAGTTCACATGTTGAGAGCTGGTCCCCAGGGTAACAGTATTGGGAGGTGCTGTGAAATCTTTGAGGTAGTACATAGTTTGAGGTCTGTAGGTCATTGGGGTACTGCCCTTGGAAAAGATTGGTGTACCTCATTGGCAGGGTTCTTATGAAAGCCTGAGCCTGGCCTCACCCAGTCTAACTTAGGTTTCCTGTTTAGCACTATGAGTTCTTCCCTTTGTCAGAGCCTACCATGTCATTTGGACTTTGAGCATCCCAAACTGGGAGGTAGATGAACTTTTATTTAAAAAGTTACCCTGTCTCGGGTATTACAGTAGTACAGAACAGCATATCACAGAGGCTATACATGAATGCATTCTATTTGTAAAAGAGTCTAGGAGGGCTGAAGATATAGCTAAGTGGTAGAATATTTGCCTAGCATGTACTTAAAAATTTTTTTTCAAAGACACCAAAATATGTAAGGAAAAATGGGAGAGATTTATCTCTAACACCCCTTCATCTTTGCATTCATACATATGTGTAATTTTTTAGTGGGCATTAATGGACTTGTACTACAACCAGGCATGTCCATCCTACAGCCTGCGGGTTGGGCGTACCACTGTTATAATTTAAAAACTAAAAATTAACAAAAGTTTTGTTACCTACCTAAATTAACTGTATTATATATTTTACATGTGGCCCAGGATAATTCCTCTTCACTCATTGCAGCCCAGGCAAGCCAGGCAATTCCAACTCACGGGCTTCAGTTTGGACACCTTTTTTACTTGCCAACATATCTGAGCTTTCCATGTCAGTACATGTAAATCTCCTTTGTTATTTTGGGCAAATATGCAGTATCTAGAATATTACCACAAAATTAAAATGCAGAATCCATGAGGGCAAGAAATTTATGTTTTACTTAATGTTACTGTCTTTATTTTCTAGGGCACACAGTAAATAGAATAAACGAATGCATAATCTGCTTAACATATAGATTACTTCCAGTTATGACTTAATACTGTTGTGAAAACCCTTGACTGCGCTTCCTCATACACATACAAAAGGGAGTCATTTTCTAGGGTACATGTATTATTGAAGATGAGGTTTCACTGTCTTCCAGTTTTTAGTATTGCCCAGTGGAGATATGGCATTGGTCTTATTTTGCATCTTTATAGACAACATATTTTTATCTTTTAGAGAGGTTCTTAGACTGTCTCTTCATCTTTGGTACTTATAAAGTTACAGCAGTTTGTCTTATTTTAATCTGTGCTTTTTGTTTTATTCCACTTAACCTCAGTCAGCATTCACTGAACTGTTAAACTATAGAGACATATACCTTTCTTGAGCTATGGAATTTTTTTGTTTCTTCTCTGTTAGTCTTTCTGTTCTCTGTTTCTGTGGTTCCTATTATATCAATATTAAAACATCTGAATATATCTTCCATGCTTTTTTTTTTCTTTTTCTTTTTTCAGTGCTAGGATTTGAACCAGGGCCTTGCAGGTCCTAAATAAGCACGTTACTGCTGAGTCACATCCTTAACCTCTTTCTATGCTTTTTAACCTTTCTCTTTCACTTCTGTCATTTCTTGGGATTTGGAGAAATAAAAGAAATAAATACAGGTGTCCTGTTTGCCTTCTTGGTTCAGTTTTCTGACATTGCTCTCGTTATCCCTCAAGGCTACCTTCTTTTTTATGCCTGTCATTTTATTTGTCTAAGTAGTCTTTTTCTCAAGGAACATGACTCACATTTTATGATAATCAATGAAAAGTTTGATATTTTTCTTCACATATTTTTGTTTTATAGTCAGCTTTTCTTGAAGATGTCTTTTTTAAAAAGCCATGATACCAGTCTAAAAATTAGAATCTTGCTTTGTGCTATTGGTAGTGAGCCCAGTCACATTAAAAAATATGTATCTTAATCACTCATCAGGTCCAGGCAGCTCCAAGTGCTGATAAAGGGCTTGATGCTTCTCCAGATGTCTGTTAGCTCCAGGTGCGGTAAGCAGAATATTTGGAGCTGGCACCTAGGTTCTCAAGCACATAGTAAGAGTACAAATCAGTTCAGAGTCCTTGGTCTCCCAGTGTAATGCTTTTTAAACCTGGTGTAGTATTACAATCATTCCGTGACATTTTCTAATAGTATAAATCTGTAGACCTTTCACTGGACATATTATGTTGGAATCCTGAGGGGTCTGGACATCTGTATATCTTTAAAGCCTCACTGTGTTACCCAGGCTGTCCTCAAACTCCTAGATTCAAATGATTATCATGCCTCAGCCTTTCTAGTAGCTAGGAGTACAAGCACACACCTGGCTACGCTTCTTTTTTTTTAGGGCAGTAAATTTTTATTTGTACAGATGTGTTGTATATACTTAACCCATCCCCTCTCAATAGACATTCAATATACTTTCAGTTCTGTTCTTAGAAAGAAGTAGATATTCTCGTGCCTATAACTTCATACATATTTGTGAATATAATTATGGAATAAATTCCTGGATGTGGACTTGTTCAGACAATGTATATACATGAATTTGACACACTTTTGTCTCCATTTTTGTGTTAAAATACACAACATAAAATTATTTAATTAATTTAATCACTTAATTAATTTTAGATCTCACTCTATAAATCAGAGTTCTCTATGTAACCCAGGCTAGCTTTGAACTCTCAGCAATCCTCCTGCCTCATTCTCCCAGGTGCTGGGATTACAGGCATACACCACACCTGGCTCACAACATAAAATTTATAATCTTAACCCTTTCTAAAAATGCAGGTCAGTGACATTAAATATGTCCATAATATTGTGAAATCATCACCATCCACCTCTAGAACTATTTTATCTTATAAAATTGAAACTATGCCCAACAGTCATTCTCCACTCCCCACCCATGTCCCTGGCAACCATCATTCTAGTTTGACTCTATAATTTTGACTACTATAAGTGTCTTACATAAGTAGAATCATACAATATTTATTTTTTGCGGTTAGCTCTTTTCATTTAGCATGAGGTTCTCAAGGTTCATCCATGTTGCACCATATACCAGAGTTCCCTTGTTTTTAAAGACTGAATAATATTCCATTTTATATATATACATTTGGCTTATTCATTGATCCATCGGTGGGCACTTAAGTTGCTTCTACATCTTAGCTACTGTGAATAATGCTGCTGTGAACACAGCTGGACAAATATCTCTTCAAGACCCAGTTTTATGTTCTTTTAAGTATACACCCAGAAGTGGAATTGCTACATCATATGGTATTTCTAGTTTTCATTTTTTGAGAAGCTACTGTTTTCCAGAATAACTATATCATTTCATATTTTCCCAGTAGTACATGTATTTCCTTTTCTCTGTATCCTAGTCAACACTTATTTTCTGTTCTTCTTTTTTTTAGAGCTAGACATACTAATGAATATGAGGTGAAATTTCATAATTTTGATTTGCATTTCTTTAATACTTCATTATGTCAAGCATCTTTTTGTATGTTCTGACTATATTTTCTTGGTAGAAATTTCTGTTTAAGTTCATAAAGTTTTGGTTATCAAATTTTACATGTTCTCTAGATATTCTGGACATTAATCGCTCTTTTTTTTGGTACCAGGCACTGAACTCAGTACCTTGCACTTGCAAGGCAGGTGGCGGCACCACTGAGCTAAATCTCTGGCCCATTAATTCCTTTTAATATGTGCAATTTGCAAATATTTGAGTTTTTATTTGTGAAATTATGCTTTTTAATTTTCAGGTATTATATTCTTAAGCTAAAAATATTCCTAAATCTTGAAAGCCTTTACATTTTGTGTTCAATTCTACTTAGGCCAGTACTAAAGTGGAAGTAGACATGGAAAAAGCAGAAAGCCTGCAGGTAACAAGAGGAGACTTCCTTGCTTCATTGGAGAATGATATCAAACCAGTAAGTATCCTTGTTGAATGATGTATGAATGATGATAATTATAGTAGTAGTTTAGGAGAAAAATAAGTACCATTTTACTCAGTATTACAGATGGTTCTCAAATAGTTTTCTTTTTAAATGGACCTCAGATACACAAACTTTGATTAATCTTATTCTTTAATTTCTGACATAGTTTTGTTAGCTCGTATGTATATGTATAAAATAAAATATGAAGGGACTGGGCATGTAGTTCAGTGGGACCATGCCTGCCTGGCAAGCACAAGGTCCTGAATTCAATCCCCGGTACAAAATAATAATAATAATAATAATAATAAT